ATTTTACATTTGTTTCCAATTTTATATGTGAGCTTAACTTTAACAATTTTGAAATTAAATTTTTTTCATGCGAAATAGTTTTCCATTAAAGACTTTGCTTCGAGCAGTTTTAAATTAAGCTCTTCCATACTGGCTTGTATGGTTTTAATTATTTCGGTAAGAAGAAATACTTCTGTTCTCAACGTGCATTCTAAAGAGTCGTCTGTTTGAGTTTGGGCATCAACAAAGAATGTATGCTGATCGCGTACTAAATCCTCACTTGTATCAGTTATTTCGTATGGCATTGGGACTGCGCATGGGTATAAACGAGCTCGTTGGAAAGTGTTTGATTTGGACATCACTTTCCTTGAAGTGGTTTTCACAAACGCGAGATGAATCACGTAGTACAACACCACAGCTTTCTTCCCATCGCTGCCGTCTTAATTCGCAACTAGGTGGTTTAAAACATGGCACTATTTTCGTGTCCTGACTTTTATTGCGTACAGCCCACCGCTCAAACGTTTTGCTCCGTTTAATCTTGGTTTCCTTACACTAAATATTTAAGCAAAGTCGAACGAATTTACTTATTACCAAACTTAAATGTACTTACTTGCTCTTCAGTTTATCTCTTAACAATTTTTCGTTTATTAAGAAAATTTGGCTCTTGAAAAATTTGTGTGTATTTTTTTTTAATTAAAATTTGAAAAAAAACACATTTTCAAATGGGTTAACAATTCATTTCAATTTGACATAATAGCCTGCTTCTTATGAGAGCAATGTCAAAATCAATCACACTTTGTTGAATACATTTTGGGTAAAACCAAGGCAAATTCAATAAGGTAGAAGTGACAACTAGCTCGAACTCTCTTGTAGCTAGTTATAATGTCAAACAACTGTAAACAAACAAATTAACCCTTTGAGGTGCGAGTGCTATGTTTGTTACAAATTAGCATCAATTGAAACGCATCAGTATAAATACATACATATGTACGTATACTAATTTTAAGAATTACTTCAATATTATCTTCAAAGAATTTTAATTGCATTCGCATCTTACATGTACATATACATATAGACAGAAACGAATACCTCATAAAGGAAGCCACGTAAATAAAACGAAATAAATTTTTTATGAAACTATTTTAACCATTTTTTTGTTTTTATTCGCCCAATGTTTTTGGCCGTTTAGTTTGTTATTTAAATATTTAATTCTAAAAACTATCCGGCACTTATAAAAAAATAATATAAAGTTTTCTTCTACATACGTATGTATGTATCTCAGTGTAAATCTAGGTCCTTAGGTGCTTATGTGAGCATAATTTTGTAAGAAACTACTTATTTCTTGCAGACTTACTCAGTTTGCGCATGGGCATCAACAGATGATATCGTCACTTCTGAACTTTCGTGTGCTTCAGGCATTTCAGGCACAGGAACCTCCCCGGGGCATGGAAACTGCACCTGGGTATAAACGCCTGCACTTAAAAATATTTGCCTGCAATGAGCAAGTAACAAAATCACTCGCGTTGAAATGATTTTCACAGACACGGGAAGAATCTTCCAATTGAACACCGCAGCTGTTCTCCCAACGAAGTGTTATAACTTCGCAACTAGGCGCCTTAAGGTATCGCACCGCTTTAACGTCTTGGCTCTTGCCACACATACCGCAACACTCGTAGTTCCTGCTCCTTTTCATTTTTGTATACGTAGTTATAAATGGATGTGGTCGAAAAACAAAAAAAAATCACAAGATTCAAAACTATCTCACAGCACGCAATTGAATTTTGAATGAAAAAT